AGAGAGCCTAAGACGGTCCCAAGATGCGTCCAAGATGGTCTCTGGATGCCCTCCAGACAACCCAAGAGGCCCCCAAGACGCTCCACGAGACCCCCAGGAGGCGAAAGTCATCAGTGCCCCGTAGGTGCTTCAGTGACTCTGGCCTACTCGCTTTTTCGGGCTTCCGACGGTCCAAGGCGGCCCCATCTGCCCACATGATCGCCCAAAGAGGCCCCAAGAAGAGGCCAGCAAGACGGTCCAAGAAAGCCCAAGAGACCACCAAGACGGCCCTAAAACGCCCAAAGTGTCTCCTCACTCCTCCCGTCTCCGCCTCGTCCAGATCCTCCCTCCTTCTCATCCTCCTCCTCCTCCTCCTCCTCCTCCTCCTCCTCCTCCTCCTCCTCCTCCTCCCCCTCCTCTCTCTCTCCTCCTCCTCCTCCTCCTCCTCCTCTCTCCTCCTCCTCCTCCTCTCCTCCTCCTCCTCCTCCTCCTCCTCCTCCTCCTCCTCCCCCTCCTCCGCCTCCTCCTCCTCCTCCTGCTCCTCCTCCTCCTCCTCCTCCTCCCCTCCTCCTCCTCCTCCTCCTCCTCCTCCTCCTCCTCCTCCTCCTCCTCCTCCTCCTCCTCCTCCTCCTCCTCCTCCTCCTCCTCCTCCTCCTCCTCCTCCTCCCCTCCTCCTCCTCCTCCTCCTCCTCCTCCTCCTCCTCCTCCTCCTCCTCCTCCCCCCCCCTCCTCCTCCTCCTCCTGCTCCTCATCCTTCTCCTCGTCCCTTCTCCTCCTCCCCTCCTCCTCCTCCTCCTCCTCCTCCTCCTCCTCCGTCTCCTCCTCCTCCTCCTCCAGCACCCCCCCAGTCTCCGCCCTCGCTCTCTTACTCTTAGTTTTCTTCTCCTCCTCCTCCTCCTACTCCTCCTCCGCAGCAGCCTCCTCCTCCTCCTCCTCCTCCTCCTCATCCTCCCCTTCCTCCTGCTGATCATCATCGGCATCACCATCATCACCGTCACCAGCATCATCATCCTAATCAGCATCATCATCAGCATCATCTTCAGCCTCATCATCATCATCACCATCATCATCATCATCATCATCCTCCTCCTCCGCATCATCATCATCATCATCATCATCATCATCATCATCATCATCATCATCATCATCATCATCATCATCATCATCATCATCATCATCATCGTCATCATCATCATCATCATCATCATCATCATCATCATCATCATCATCACCATCACCATCACCATCACCATCACCATCACCACCATCATCATCATCATCATCAGCAGCAGCAACATCATCAGCATCATCACCATCAACAGCATCATCATCCGCATCACCATCACCATCATCATCAGCAGCATCCTCAGCAGCATCAACATCAGCATCAACATCAGCATCATCATCACCATCACCACCATCATCATCATCATCATCATTATCATTACCATTCGAATCATCAGTATCAGCATCAGTATCAGCATCACCATCATCATCACCATCAGCATCATCATCAGCATCATCAGCATCAACATCATCATCGTCATCGCCATCGTCATCGTTATCGGCATCATCATCGTCATCATCAGCATCAGCATCAGCATCACCATCCTCATCCCCATCCTCATCCTCATCCTCGTCCTCATCCTCACACTCCTCCTCCTCATCTTCTTAATCCGCATCCTCATCCTCATCCTCATTCCTCCTCCCTCCCTCATTCCTCCTCCTCCCTCCCTCCTTCCTCCTCCCTCCTCCTTCCTCCCTCCCAACTTCCTCCCTCCCTCCTTCCTCCTCCTCCCTCCCTCCTCCTCCCTCCTTCCTCCTCCCTCCTCCTCCTCCGTCTTACGTCCTCCCTCCTCCTTTCTCCTCCGTCTTACTTCCTCCCTCCTCCTCCTACCCCGCGCGGCGGCGCCCGACTCCAGAGGTGGGCGCGCTCGGCATCCGCCAGGGGGTCCGCGCGAGGGCCTCCCCGCCGCGAGGGGCGCGAGCGGCGCAGCGCGCCTCGCACCGGGGGGGCGGGCCGGCGGGCGGGCGGCAATAGCCCGCGGCCAAGGGACGGGTTTGGAAGGTGTTCGGCCTCTGGAGGCCTCCTCCTCCACCTCCTCCTCCTCCGCCTCCTCCTCCTTCTTCTCGTTCTCCTTGTTATCCTCCTCCTCCTCCTCCTCCTTCTCCTCCTCTCCTCCTCCACCTCCTCCCTCTCCTCCCTCCTCCCTCCTCCCTCCTCCCTCCTCCTCCTCCTCCTCCTCCTCCTCCTCCTCGTCTACTTCTTCTCTTCTTCTTATTCTTATTATTGTTATTATTCCTCCTCCTCCTCGTTCTGCTCCCTCCTTCTCCTCCTCCCCCTCCTCCTCCTCGTCCTCGTGCTCCTCCTCCTCGTCCTCCTCCCTCCTCCCTCCTCCTCGTCCTCCTCGTCCTCCTCGTCCCTCCTCCCTTCTCCTCCTCCTCCTCCTCCTCCTCCTCCTCCTCCTCCCTCCCCACCTCCTCCTCGTCCTCCTCGTCCTCCTCGTCCTCCTCCTCCGTCCCTCGAGATTGGGGCGCTCAAGATTCTTCCTGGCGGCCAAGGCTAAGGTAGGTTGGAGCATCATAAAGCGAGGCTCATTTCTTCCATGCGTGCAACTTCGCTTTTCCCAGCCGAGGACAGCCCAACAAAAAGCATGTAGGCCAGCAAAGGAGCACTGAGCCCTTTCCCAACGAGGAGGGCTGGCTTCTTCCGCGCCCCGGCTGTGAGGAGGCGGGGGAGAGGGAAAGGACGAGGGGGTGTCTCGGCGTGGATGGGCAACCGCACGAGAGTCCCAGCCAGATACCCGATCGTGTCGTTTGGGCCCGCGGGGGGTCGGATTCGGCTGCTGGTCTCAGAAGAGGCAAGTGCCGTCACGGCGAGCTGCAATTGCGCAGTGCGGAGCAGGTGAAGAAGCGGGAGATATGGGCGAGAACGAAGGGACCTCGGCGATTATGAGAGAACGATGGTAAAGGAAAGCATGTGGATACGCGGGCGAGAAGGGAAAGCGAGGGGACGCGAACAACGATGCAAGAGCTACAGAGCAATCACAAAGAGGGGGGAGTACCAGAGACGGGGGCCTGTTCGACCGCTGCCCCCGACGCTTCGCACGAGAAAAGTTCATGAACAACGGCCATTCACCGACAGGTGGAAAGTGCAGCCAGCTGTCTGACCGACTAGCTGCGCCCCTGCACACTGTGCCAAACTGCTTTATGAATCCGTTGGCACGGTCGCACTGGCGCGTGTTGGCCCATTGTCTAGTGCACCCGTCGAACTTGACGTCTGCCAGTCTGTCGTAAGGACGGACGCGTGGACGGCTGAATGCGTTCGATAGCAAGAAACGCGGCCGCGGCGGACCGAAAACCCGAACACGCAACGGTCAAGAAAGAATGCTACGCTGACCACCGACAGACAGAGTCCAATCCGTACATCATGGTGGACATGAGGCCCCCCCACTTCTAGAGATTATGGGTCCACCACACCATGTTGCGGCACCGCCCGTGATTGTCGATGCGGGTGGGGCTCTGCGGGATCTGGTGTGGTGCCATGTGTGGTATGTGGTGCTTGTTGTTGGGGGTGCGTGTGATTTACGTATGTGTACGGGCGTGCTGTGTGCTCTCTGTGAGTGCGTGATGCGTGTGCTGTGTACGTGTGTATGTGCGTGTGTGTGTGTGATTGTACACGCTGACCTGCCAAGGAACACGCGTGTGCATTTATGCGCAAGGTGCGCGAGTTGCGTGCGCCACCCGACAGGTCAGCCACCACCCCCATTTGCATTGGCATTGTGAGCGCCAGGCTGGCCTTTGTCCAAACCCCCGTCCCATCGGGGAAGTACACAGAAGCCCTGGGACCCATAGCATCTGGGAGGGGGGGAGGGGGAGGGGGGGCAAAGGAACACTGGCCCCTAGACCATGCGCGCACAAGCTTGTATTGAATCTGCAAACGCAGACACACACACACACACTGGCTTGGCGAGGTTAACCACGCGAACATTAGACGCAAAGATATCATACGATTGCTGATGCGGCAACTGAACACTAAGTCTCAGACCCGTTTTAATGTTGAAGCGAGTGTGTCGACACACCGCCAAACGTTTAGTGCGCAGCTGCGATGTGGAGAGGCTGATGTGCATCGAGCCACTTGCTCTTTCAAACAGTTACGCGCTGTGCAACGGCTGGTGTGAGTTAGACTTTGCTCTTTACCATTAGTGAACACCTTGCGAAACAATAGTTCGGGCCCGCCGGCACGTCGATCCCAACATGCGGCCACATGTGGCTCACATCCTTTCGTGGACCCTTCCACCCAGAAGCCCTGTCCACATCCCCACCCCCACCCCTTCCCAACACTCCCCGCAGAGTGGTGGCAGGTGCGAGCGGTAGCGCGACTGGGTAACATATAAATGCTGTTTGCCCCGAGCGCTTCACTTCATGAAATTTCAGTCCACAAATCCATGCTTCCTGGAGGCGATTCGATCTTATAACTCTGTTTGCGTGATTCGCTCAACGTGTGCAAGTGCATGTCTGCCAATGAGGCACACCCCGCAGACACAATTGAGCATGTCTGTTAGGTATCAGCATCGGGGTTGTGGGTCGGTCGCATAATCATATGCGAAATTGAGCACAGAGCCCATGGTATAATAGAAGCGGCACACGAATGTTGTTTTTAGCTCGTGCCAGGCATATCTGATGAGCTAAGCACGCTGCTGTACAACCCTGGAGCAACGAAACCTCGCATCACATGTTATTGTGATGCAGGGTACGGGGCGGAGCTACAGTCGGGGCGTTGACCTAAGGAACCATAAATAAGGAACGAGGCTCCTTTTTTCCATAAGTTAAACTTCGAATTCCTATCGAAAACATAAGGACAACCTGAGGCAAGCTGTGAAACACTTAAAGAACGCGGAGCCCCTCCCCAACCAAAAGGGTTCCTTCTTCAGGGCCCCGACTGTACTCAACAGACTCACGGCGATGAAAACGAGCACTACGCAGCCCCTCATGCGTAGATGCCAATTCCAGCCGCCTCTTCAACGCGCTGGTATAGCCGCCACAACAGGAAGGCGTCGTTCCATCCACTCCGCAAACTCATCCTGTTGGTGGAGCGGGCATCTTCGCATTACAACTCTCAGCCTGTCCCTTTTCCAACCTGGCTGCGAGGCCCTGGAGACCGGTCATAAACTGGAACCTGCTATGGTGAACCAGGCAGACAAGCCAGCCCGACAGCAATAGTAGCGAGCGCCAGACGAAATCACGAGCTTGCAACCTCCAGCCGCTGGTGTATTGAAGCTGCCCTTGCGGGGGCCAGCACACCCGCCTGCGGGAGGGGGAGGGCGTCAACGGACACCCTGGGACCTCGAAGAAACTTCATGGGCGTCGGCGATGTATCGAAGGGCACCGAACTCTGCACCTCCGGGCGAGCAAACTAAACGGTATCACTCCAGAGCTGGAGGAGGAGGAGGCTGGAGGAGGAGGAGGAGGAGGAGGAGGAGGCTGAGGAGCAGGAGGAGGAGGAGGAGGAGGAGGAGGCTGAGGAGGCGGAGGGGGAGCAGGAGGAGGAGGAGGAGGAGGAGGAGGAGACGGAGGAGGAGGAGGAGGAGCAGGAGGAGGAGGAGGAGGAGCATGGAGTCCTGCAACACCAAGACACGATTCCGCCCCAACGGGCCAGGACCCCAGCTAATTGGGCGCCAGAGCATGGGCAAGATCCTCCACGCCTCGACGGCGACAAGAACCCCGATTCGGTGGTCCTCCATGGCCCTTGACCTCTGGAGGCAGGGGGCGAGGCACGCCCTTCCGTTCATTTCCCTCCCCTCTCGCTTTCCGGCGAGGAAAGCTGGGAGAAAGGAAATGGCCCAGAGGGGGGAACCACCGAGCCGGGAAATCAACGCCAACTCGTCGACAGCCTCCCTATGGCAACATCGGACGCTCCTGGGCAGGGTGGGGCCTTTCAGCAGCCCCGATCATGAGCAGGCGATCGGTGGTTGGTGTTGCCCTCACCGAGCCAATGCCCCTTTCGGCGATAGAACCTCCGCTTGGGGCCTACTGCTCTATCAGGATGGCTCCGAGAGACGAACTGGTAAATATGAAAAGGGGGCTTCTGCAACCGAACCGCCCGAACCGGAACCTTAACCGAACACATTGGTCGAGCTGTGGCCGACCGTCCTGGCATTCCTATAGTGCTGCACACGAAATGTTCTCATAACCCAAACATGTTCTAAGAACAAGAACACTGCTCTTAGAACATAAAACCGATGTGATACACCAAGACAGTCCCAACCAGAAATATTATCAGAACATTTCGTGGAAACCACAAAAGGTTCTTAGAACATTGTTTGGTACGACTATAGGCACGCCAGGACGCTTCGCCACTGCTTGAGAACTGGTAAATATGAAAGGGCGGCTTCTGCAACCGAGCCGCCCGAACCGGAACCTCAACCGAACACGTTGGAAAACCGAACCGACTCCTTCTCCTTCTCCTCCTCCTCCTCCTCCTCCTCCTCTTCCTCCTCCTCCCCCTCCCCCTCCTCCTCCTCCTCCTCCTCCTCCTCCTCCTCCTCCTCCTCCTCCTCCTCCTCCTCCTCCTCCTCCCCCTTCCCCCCTCCAACTCATGGTGGTGGTGGAAAACAGTTTAACCTTAGCCAGTTCGAACTGAACCGGCGCGCGGTAACCGGCTCGAACGGCCAGACCTAACCCGTTGGCACCGAGCGGGCGCCATGGCCATGCATAGCGTTTTTGATGCTATTGCTAATCGGCATGATATGATAGCAGCTTCGATCCCCGCAACTTTTCCGTGGATTATCAAGCTCGGCCTCCGCGCCTTCCCCACAGATAAATCCCTGTGGTCGGGGATGACAAAAAAGAGGGGGTGAAGGGGGGGTACTTTATTATCGCCCGTGGTCGGTTATGAAAAGGGCGGCTTCTGCAACCGAACCGCCCGAACCAGAACCTCTGCCGAGCACGTTGGAAAACCAAACTGGCCAATCCGAACTTCGAACCCGCGGGTGGCCACCAGCTCGAACGGCCAGACTTAACCAGTTGGTACCGAGCTGGCGCCCAAAGCGTCGAGCGGCCGAAGCGGACCCTGCATGCCCAGGGGAGGGAGGTCTCCACTGCCCACCACGACCACCACCTGGTGGGCGGGGGGGGTTCTGGCGGGGCAGAGGAGGCAGGGCCCAGGATTGTGCTGTTCCCATCCTGCTTACGGACCACATCCCAGAAAGAATTTCGAGCACCAGGCAAAGTGTCAAAAGAGTATCGAAGCAGTGTCGAAACTGTGTCGGGCGAGTGCCTCCCAGGGCCCGACACGTGAAAACCCCTGAGTTTCGGTACTTTTTTCTGGCGCTCGAAATCCTTTCTGGTGGTCAAGGCTAAAGCAGGTTGGAGCATCATAGCGCGAGCATGTCGGAGAAGACCTTCTGTGGCAGGGAAGCCCAGAATAGAATCGACAGGTCGGATCGGCGATCAGGATGAGTCGGGTCGGCGGAAGTCGGCAGCCACGTCGGGAGAACTTCATAGGCCCAGGAGTGGAGTGGTGGTGAGGTGGTGCTGGGGCCGTCCCTCGGAGCAGGGCGAGTCGAGACAGCGACAGCTCAGGATCCATCCCGGGCTCCTCCTCCTCCTCCTCCTCCTCCTCCTCCTCCTCCTCCTCGGGGACCGAACGCCCCGAGTGTGTCCGAGCCGCGGCCGGGGAAACCCAAAAGGTACCGACACCGCCACTCCCTGGACCTCTCCCGGGGTGCGCTCTGACCGGAATCTCGAGGCGAATCCAGCGGTGGCGACGAGGACCTCTCCCAGGAGGCCCCCAAAAAATTGGAGAACGAGGGGAGGCTATAGAGGTATAGGGGGGTGCCTTTCCCTCCTCTGAGCGGCCAGCCGTGGCGGCCCGGGGCTCCCCCGAAGTCCAGCTGCCGTGGTCTCGACGGGCCCTCCTCGGAGGCAGGCCACGTTGAGCAGGGACCGAGCGTCCCGGCATTCCTACGAGATGTTCTTAGAACGGAGCAAGCACACTGCTCTTAGAACATAAGCCCGCTGTGCTAAAACGAGACCGTCCCAGCCAGAAATGTGCTCAGAACAGTTCGTGGAAGCCACCAAACAGGTTCTCAGAACATTGCTCGGTGGGGCTGCAGGCGAGCCGGGACGCTTCGCCACTGCTGGACGTCCGCCGGGGGCCCCGGGCCTCGCCGAGGGTGCTGGAGGCCGCCAGGCCCACGCGGCAGCGGCGCGCCAGCTGCACGGCCAGCCAGTGCTTGCAGCACAGCTCGCCCGCCTTGGTCTAGGTCGGGCGTGCCCCCCCACAGGCGGAGTCTGGACGACAAAAAAAATCATACCCCCCAAAAATGCCCCAAAACAGCCAAAAGGGGTCAAACAATCACCCCCAGACTGTTTTTTGACTATCTTTGAACATTCCTCCTGTAGAGGGACAGGCCCGACTTAAGCCTCGGCCAACGTTCTCTTGCTCGGCGTTTCGACATTGGGCGGAAAGGGGGGGAGGGGGGGGGTTCTGGCTCTGGACCTCTGCTCGGTGCGGCTGTGTTGCACCAGCGCGTCCCTGAAGCAGGCAGCAACAAATCAGCCAAGATCTGCTCCAGGGGGGGGGGGTGGTGCGAGGGCCCGCGGCGATCGGCAAAACAATGAGCAAGAGAACGATGACTTGGAGGAAGAAGCCACCGCATGAGAGCACACCCTCGGAGCGCTCCGCGCAGAAATGATGTCTCGGATGGGCGCAGGGCCCCCCCGCCCTGGCGCGCGAAGGAGCGCGCCATGGGGCGGCGCTGGAGACGTCGCCAGTGGGGCCCAGCGCAGACCCAGGGGGTTCGCGCGGACCTCCCAAAGTTGATGCTTGCGCAGCTGTCTCACCAGCCTCGACCCGATCCCTACCCAAATGTTGAGAAGCCCGAGCGCGACGACAATGCGGAGGCTGTGTCCTGAGAAACTGAAGGACACCTTCGGATTGGCATCGAGATCGGGGGACGCCGACCACAGGGACAGGGATCTGTTCCAGGCTGGTGGGGTCTCCCTCCGTGGACGCCTCCAGGACCTGCCTGCCGAAGTACGGGCACGAGCAGTAGAGCCCGCTGGAAACGACCAGGTGGCTCTCGCGGCCCCCGCGCACCTCGTACACCTCCGGCGGGACTCCTCCTCCTCTTGAACCTCCTCCTCCGTCTTCTCCTCCTCCTCCTCAACCGTTTGGGAGGCCGCCGCCGCCGCGCCTGCCGGCCGCGCTGGCTCCGGACGCAGGTGACGCCAGAAGGGCAGAAAGACCGCAGGAGCGTCGCGCTCCCCTGACCTTCCAGGAGGGCTAAAAAAATAGCACCAGGACATCGACGTGCTAATTCCTGTCGAAGTTTGAGGCCGTCCAGATAGATCTATAGATCTGGAGTGCTATTTTTCAGCACTCTGGAAGGTCAGGGTCCACAGGGGGACTGCACGCGTGTCGGGCATGCCCTCCCACAGGAGGGGCTCCGGAAGAATAGTGGACCCAGTCCAGACAGATTGGAACGGAAGAACGAAACTGAAGGGGCCCTGGGACACACAAATAAATAGACACTAATAAAAGGATTCCCCATATGTCGCCATACTTTCTGGGTCTTTGCCTTCCCCCCCACTTCCCATATTTTCCTATCTTTTCGTGGGAATCGACGAGTAATTGTGTCTGTGTGTTGTTTCCCCTCCTGAGAAACATGGTCAAAACATTTATCCAAACATAGAAGCATCGTCCCCAGACTATCCTATCAGTTCTTGGATCCAGCCACCTCCTGTAGAGGGAGACAGGCGCTACTTCAAGACACTGCACGGACGGGGGGGAGAGGCGCAGGAGACTCCGGCTCGCGGGGCCTCTCGGCCCGGCCCCACGCGAGGCGCCAGGAACACGACGAGGAGGCCCGCTCCGCAACTCGACGCGGGCTCCCGCTGCGACCAGCCCAAGAGAACTGGAGCGTTCGGCGGTGGACAGACCTCCCTTTAGTAGACCTCCCCTTAGTGAGAACGGCCTGTGACCGAAACCGACGGAGCTGGACCCGCAAAAATGACGGCCGCGACGCCCTCTCGCGCACCGAAAACGGCCAATTCCTTAATCGACGTGTCAGGGTAGGAGGTCTGTCCAACCCCGAAGCTTCGGAATCCCAACTGGGCTCGACAAGGCGGGGATGGACAGAGCCCCCTTTGGCAAGGCGCGGTTTGGTGAAAACGACCTCGGGCCCAGACCTGGCGGGCGCAAGCCTGGAAAATGACGGCCACGGCGCCCTCTCGAGAGCTGGAAACGGTCAATTCACGGGTCGACGTAGCAGGATGGGGGTTTCCTGTCCACCCCCGATCCACAAGCGTCGGCAAAACCGAGTTCTGGCGAACTCGAGTCTCCCGTTTCCCTGGGCGGATCTCTTGTTTGGACGCCCGAAGTGGGCACGGAAACAATGGGCACAATGCCCAACAGCAAATGCTGTCCGGAACCCACAGCGGCCGCTGCTGGGCAGGCGGCCTCCTGTCTCGAGTGGACACAGGCCGCGGCGGCGTGGACAGCGAGCCCTGTTCAAATGAACAAGAATTGGGCGCCCGAGTTATCCGGGGTAACTCGGGTCCGGGTTAACTCGGGTTTGGACTCCCGAAAAAGGAACCCGAGTTATCCCTGACCCGAGTTACCCCTGATGATTCGGGGCTCTGGACGCCCGAATTATCCGGGGTAACTCGGGTCCGGGGTAACTCGGGTTCGGATTCCCGAAAAACGAACCCGAGTTATCCCTGACCCGAGTTACCCCTGATGATTCGGGGCTCTGAAAGAACTGCTGTTCGGCTTTGTGCCCCTTCTTTCCGTACCCGTTTCGATCGTTCCGACCGTGGGCCCAAAAATCGTGACCGGCAGCATGTGCGCGGCCCAGCGGGGAGGGCCAGGGACGCAATGACACACGAAGAGGCGCCATGACATCTGGGGAAATATCATGGCCCCCGCCATGCTCTCCCCCCCTAACCCGGAGAAGCAATTAAGGACCCCCCGGCGTTATCATTAGCACCGCGCCGTAATTAAACAATTATTTGGGGGGGTTTTCGCCGAGCGATATTATTAGCACCGCGCAAATGGAAGGAAAATAAATAATTCCAGCGCCCCGCCTCGGGTGGCATCCCGCGAGACCTGGGAGCGGGACTCCGTGGGACCCGTGCGATCTGGTGTACCCCCTCCTGGTGCCAGGATAACGCTTCCGGGTGCCGGGTGCGTTATCCTTTCACCGGAGAGGGGGGGGGGGGTTCCTTAATCGCTTACTCGGGTTAGTCATCACCCCCCTTTCTGCCGCCCCCGAGCTTCCCTGGGCGGATCTCCTGGACCCGGGCTGGACGCTCTCCGCCTCCCACGGGGCGCGCGGGGCGGGCGGCGTCGGAACGGGGCCGAAAGCTCCGGCGCCGATCCAGGCCGCCCCCGCGCGGCCCTCCGAAGATGTACGATCTTTTGAGCAGGGACCGGCCGTCCTGGCATTCCTATAATCCTACCACGACATGTTCTCCGAACGCAGATGAAGCGGCCCTGGGACACACACACACACACACACACACACACACACACACACACACACACACACACACACACACACACACACACACACACACACACACACACACACACACACACACACACACACACACACACACACACACACACACACACACACCACACACACACACACACACACACACACACACACACACACACACACACACACACACACACACACACACACACACACACACACACACACACACACACACACACACACACACACACACACACACACACACACACACACACACACACACACCACACACACACACACACACACACACACACACACACACACACACACACACACACACACACACACACACACACACACACACACACACACACAAACATAAATACACTAGAATAACCGGATTCCCCATAGTTTCCCATATGTTCTGGGTTTGTGTCTTCCCCCCCACTCCCCATATTTTCTAATATTTTCGGGGGAATCGACGAGTAATTGTGTCTGTGTGTTTCTTTCCCTCCAGAGCAAAACTATTCTAAGAACAACAGCAACGATGTTCTTGGAACATAAGCCCGATGTGCTAAAACACGAAAGACTCCGCCAGATCTGTTCCGAGAACATTTCCTGGGGACCACGACAGGCTCGTAGAACATTGCTTGGTAGGGCTATAGGCACGCCGGGACGCTTCGCCACTGCTCGAATCTTGCAGCTTTCTGCCCTTGTGGATGCTGTCGCCGGCGTCGACGAGGTGCAGCGCCTGCTGCTCTGGCAAGGCTTCGGGCCGCGCACGGACAGACGCCCCCGAGGCAGTCCCGGCCGGCCTCGGCTGGCCTCCTGAGCAGGCCGGGGCGGGCTCGAAACCCCAACCTTGGGGCGTGGAGCACCCCGCCGCCGGAGGCAGCGACAAGGTATCCAAACCGCCCCGGACTACTCTGAAGTCGGGCCTGTCCGCCTACAGACCGATGAGGGCGAAAAGTATTAAGTTGTTACAAAATACCCCCAATGGTCCACAAATGCCAGAAAAATAGTTCCCAAACTATTTTGTTTTATTTTTTAAACAACCATTTTTGAATTTTCCCCCTGTAGAAGGACAGGCTCGACTTAAGACTACTCAGGAGACCTGTTGAGGCCAGCCAGGACTACCTCGGGGGGCAGTCTGTGCTCGGGGATCTGTACTGACCCAGGCCAAGGCAGAGCCGGGTCGGTCAGGCCTCGCAGGATCTGGCAGGATCCTGCAGGATCCTGCGCCCAAGCCTGGGTCTTGCCATCGCTCGGAGTCCATTCCTCGTGTATTTTTTGATTTCGTGCGTGCTATAATCGCTAAGTCATCCAGGATGCTCCTCCATGGTCCTCGCCGAGGAAAAATGCATATGCACGTCCGAGCGATGCCAAGGGGTCAATGCACCCCTGGCCCTGCAGGATCCTGCAAGACCCGGCGCTATGACTGACCCCCGTTTGCACTGACCCCCGTCTCTTGAGCCCCGATGTGCGAATAGACGCACGCGCCCAACCATGTACATGAACACGGCCCACCAATCCGCGAGACCGACCGCGTGATACGAAGGTTCGCGCAACGCGAACTCTCGAAACCAACGTGGATTCATGCACGTGGACGTCCTTCTTTCACTCCCAAGCTGAGGCCCGCCAATTGAGCAGGGACCGACCGTCCTGGCATTCCTATAGTCCTACCACGAAATGTTCTCCCCTAAATAACGTTCTAATAATAAAAACGATGCTCTTAGAACATAAGCCCGATGTGAGAAAAACAAGGCAGTCCCAGCCAGAAACGTTCGAAGAACATCTCCTGGGAGCCACACAAGAGGTTCTTGGAACATAGTAGTTTGGTAGGACTACAGGCACGCCAGGACGCTTCGCCCCTGCTTGAGCCAGGACCACCTCGGGGGGCCGCCCGTGCTAGAGGCAAGAGAGTTATGCACCTGCACCGATGCTGGCCAGGCCCATCCTGAGCCCAGCATCGGTGCACACGCCCTCTTACCTCGGCCAAGGAGGCACGTGCACCGATCCTGGGTCAAGGATGGACGTTGTCAGGATCGGTGCATGTGCATATCGGGAGCGGCCAAGAGGGGGGTGTCCAAGAGGGGGGGGTGCAAATCATGACCGGCGGCATGTGCGAGGCCCAGCGGGGGGGCCAGGGATGTAATGAGACAAGAAGAGGCGCCATGAAATCTAGGGAAACATCAGGGCCCCCGCCATGATATCCCCCCCCCCTAATCATCACCCCCCTCTCTTCCGCCCCCGAGGAGCATCGCTCTCCTCGCCCGACGCGCGCAGCCCTAAGCCTCGCCGTGCTGGACCGTGACGTTGGGCACGAGCGCCCCCAGGGCCACCAGCGCGGCCTCCCGCGGCGCCGCCGCGCGGGCGCTCGGCTCTCCGCACGCGGCAGGCAGGCCCGGCACCCGCCCGCGCCACCGGCGGCGCCCTCGGGCGCCCGCCGCCGCACGGCCGCCCTCGAGGGCGCGAGCCCTCCCCGAGGAGGGCGCGCGCCCCGCGGAGCTGCGCCACGAGGCTGTGGGAAGTGCGCCAGGGAACACCCTAAGGCCCTAATCAGTGGATGGCTTGGTCGAGGGCGAGATCGACTGAGCGAGATGGGCAGGGAGATCGATCACGAGATCGATGGCGAGCTCGATCGTCGGCTCAGAATCAGCGGCCGGGCACCACCTGGAACCCAGAACCGGGAACCCGGGAACCCAGCCAGCTACCGACATCGGCCCGGGACCAATACCCAGCAATTCGATGACGTGCTTTCTTCAATCCGAGGTCCCCGGATGTCACGACCCACTCCCGAGGACCGGTGTTTCAACCCGAGTCGTCACTTGACGGTCTTGGGGCCCGGCGAGGGCCCGATGCGGGAGGGAAGGAGAAAGGGGGGACACCTTTGGCCGCAGGGCAGCCCTCTGGCAGCACCTGGCACGACGCAGAAAAGCTGGTCCGAGGAGCGGCGTGGGGCACGGGAGCCCAGGGGGCCTCCTCCTCCTCCTCCTCCTCCTCCTCCTCCTCCTCCTCCTCCTCCTCCTCCTCCTCCTCCCCTCCTCCCCTCCTCCTCCTCCTCCTCCTCCTCCTCCTCCTCCTCTCCTCCTCCTCCTCCTCTTCCTCCTCCTCCTCCTCCTCCTCCTCCTCCTCCTCCTCCTCCTCCTCCTGCCGCGCGACGGCGTGGGAGTCGGGCCTGCCCAGGTGGCCGACCGGCCACGGCTGGGGGAGCTGCGCCCACAACGTCGACGCCCCGAGGTCTCGACCGTGAGCGTTTCTTCCTTCGGCGCTTCGGCATCGGGCGGAAAGGGGGGGGGGAAGGGGGGGGGGGACCTGGCTCCAGACCTCTGCTCGGTGCGACTGTTTGGACCCGTGCGTCCTGGTGGGGAGACCCGACCTGCTCGAAACAGGCGCCAAAAACAGCTAAGATCTACTCCATGGGGGGGGGGAGGGGGGTGCGAGGGCCCGCGCCGATCGGCAACACAGTGAACAACAAAAACGGTCACAGGCCTCGATCCACTGCCCGGGGCCAACTCTGGATCCTGAATCGTATTTTGCTGGTCCCAGGCTCCCGGCCGAGGCCCCAGAGGCCAAAACTGGTGAAACATCTAATGGAAGCCACTCTCTCCCGGCATGCTTTCTCACGACGCGCGGGGGTCTGGATGCGCAGCCCCCCCGGCTGTGGCTGGTCTGCACGGGCATTCGCGGAGCGGCTCCAGGTCGTCGAGGACGTCCTGGAGCGCCCGGAAGCGGCAGATGCGCGAGGCCGGCGACATGGGGCCCGCCGACGCGCGCCTCCGTTTTCGAGGTGGGGGCGCGGCGTCTTCCCTGCGTGCGCATCCTGCTGGCCTGCTGTGACCACGAGCTCACACGACGCTCCTGTCCTCGGCAAGGCACACATGAGCGACGAAACGAGACGGGTCCTCTTACGCGGGATGGCATGGAGACCTTGCGCCGCGACATGCGCGGGTCGCCAGCATGCCACACCGCGTGGAGAAAAGAGCGCTTGGGTCGCTAGCGTGGCATACCGCGTGGAGAGGAGGGCGCTTGCGCACGACCTTGCGCGGGGAGTTCACCAGCGAATGCCCGCCGGGGGAAGAAGCAGAATGACGAGGAAGAGCGGGGAGAAAGAGAAGGAGGGGCAGCGGGCCGCTCTCCCCCCCCCCGGTGAGGGAGGGGCGAGAAGAGGAGGAGGAGGATGAGGAGGAGGAGGAGGAGGAAGAGGAGGAAGAGAGCAAAACGAGGAGGAGGAGGAGGAGGGCGAGGAGAAGGGTGGAGGAGGAGGGGGAGGAGGAGGAGGAGGAGGAGGAGGAGGAGGAGGAGGAGGAGGAGGAGGAAGAGGCGCGGGACAGGGTTGGCCCGAAAGAAGGGGCCAGTCTCTGGACCCGACCTTGGGGCTGGCGGCCGCGTTGGAAGAGAAACGAAACAGTGTCAAACAGATTCAACGGTCGAACACAGTCAAAACATCGCCCCCGACTATGTTGTCAACTGCTTTTGCGCACTCCTCCTGTAGAGGGACATGCCCGACTGTAAGGCTGCGGGAGCGAGCCTCCACCCCAGAGCGGCCGAGGGCAGCCCCTCCCGGCGGGCCTCTGGCCGCCCTGCGCTCGAGCCGAACTGAGCCACCGCGTGCCGAGAGACGCGGGCGAGCTCACAAGACGTGGCCCCCCCCCTCGCCGCACACCCTGCCCCCCCCCCCCCGCACGCACACACACACACACACACACACGCACACACGCACACACACACACACACACACGCACGCACGCACGCACGCACGCACGCACGCACGCACGCACGCACGCGCGCGCGCACGCGCGCACGCACGCACGCACGCACGCACACGCACACGCACACGCACACGCACACGCACACGCACACGCACACGCACACGCACACGCACACGCACACGCACACGCACACGCACACTCACACACGCACACACACACACGCACACGCACCCCCACACGCACCCACACGACCACACGCACGCACACGCACGCACACGCACACACACAAGCACACACACACACAGAGCACACACCACACGCACACACACACACGCACACGCACGCACAACGCACACACGCACACCACGCAGGCACACACACGCACACACACGCACGCACGCGCACGCACGCACGCACACACACACACGCACACACACACACCAACACACACACACGCACACATACGCACACACACACACGCAAACACACACGCACACGCACACAAACGCACACACACGCACACACACACACGCACGCACGCACGCACGCACGCACGCACCCACGAACGCACACATAAACACACGCGCACAAACACACAGACCACACACACACACTAACACTCACACACCCACACACCCACACACACGCACACACGCACATACGCACATACGCACACACGCACACACGCACACACGCACACACGCACCGCACGCACCGCACGCACCGCACGCACCGCACGCACCCACGCACCCCACGCACGCCCCCACGCACCCCACACACCACACACTAACACACACACACACACCACACACACCCACACACGCACACACGCACACACGCGCACGCACACGCGCAACATACGCCACGCACCACACGCACACACACACACACACACACACACAACACACACACACACGCGCACACACGCGCACACACGCACACACTCGTACGCACGCACGCACGCACGCACGCACGCACCCACGCACCCTCGCACGCACCCACACACACACACACGCGCACCCACCCACCCCACCCACACACACACACACGCACACATACACAGGCACACACACACAAGCACACACAAACACACATACACACACCAACGCACACACACACGTACCCACACACGCACACAACCGCACACGCACACACCCACGCACGCACACACGACGCACACACCCACACAAGCACACACCCACACACGCACATACGCACACACGCACGCACGCACGCACGCACGCACGCACACATGCACACACGCACATACGCACACACGCACGCACGCACGCACGCACGCACACATGCACACACGCACACACGCGCACACACGCGCACACACACGCACACACGCGCACACTTCCTCCTCCTCCTCCTCCTCCTCCTCCTCCTCCTCCTCCTCCTCCTCTCCCCCTCTCCTCTTCCTCCTCCTCCTATTGCCCCATCTCCTCCTCCTCCACCTTCCCCTTCTCTCCTCCTCCTCTCCTCCTCCTCCTCTCTCCCTCTCGCCTCTGCCTCCTCTCACTTTGCCCTCTCTCCTCCTCTCTCCTCCTCCGCCTCCTCCACTTTGCCCTCCTCCTCCTCCTCCTCGTCCGCCTCCTCCACGTTGCCCTCCTCCTCCTCCTCCTCGTCCTATTCCTCCTCCCCTCTTCTGCTTTGCCCTCCTCCTCCTCCTCCTCCTCCTGCTCCTCCTCCTCCTCCTCCTCCTCCTTCTCCTCCTCCCCCTCGTCTCTCTCCCCTGCCGTTTCTCATCCGGCAGGCCCGCGCAGGCGCACAGACGGCTCGCTCCTGGGTCTGCGCAGGCGGAGTCCAAGATTTCAGGTCGGTGAAATGCTGAACCGACGTGATTCGGCGGAGCAATTGCTCCACCCGCTCCTGGGCATCGAAGGTATTGGCGTCGAAGAGGTCCCGAGGATGCTTACAGCTGGTGATGTACCACACCTTGGCTTCGATCTGCCTAGACCCCCCCTTGGTTTCGACCGTATAAGGGTAGCGCAGATCGCGCAGACTGATCGCACTGCATTGAAGCAGGGACCGACCGTCCCGGCATTCCTACAGTCCTACCACGAAATTCTCGTAGAACCCAAGATTGTTCCAACAACAAAAACGATGCTCTCAGAACATGAGCCCGATGTGTTCAAACAAGACAGCCGTAGCCAGACATGTTCTGAGAACATTTCGTGGAAACCACAGAAAGGTTCTTAGAACTCTGCTTGGTAGACAGCTAGGCGGGCCAGGACGCTTCGCCACTGCTTGATGCATGCTCCTTCGCTCTCCTGATCAAGGCAACTCGCCTGGGCATCGTTCGTGGGCTGGTGGGGATACTTTTTGGCCAGCGGGCGCGCAAGACCAAGTCGAACGTCGAGCGTTCTGCGGCGGGCCGCGCCGGTAGCGAAAGGGAGAAGCAGTGCAGGCACGCACGCCGCGACACCGGTGGTGGGGATACGCGGAACGTCAAACATTAAGCAGTCAACCAATCAACAAGCCAACCAAACGGCCAACCATCAGCCAATTGGCACATCAAGTTCAATGTGCATGACAACAACCCAACCGAGATCCAGATACGCGTGCCGAATGTGTACTGGGCGAGGGCGGGGGGGGAGGCACTCGGTATGTGCGAGCGTAGGCAATAGGAAGCCCTGGGGTCTCTCCCTGTGCAGTCGACTGTAACTCCAGGAGACAGCACGAGACCGAAGGTGTTTGGGCCCCTCTTTTTCCCCAGACACGCCGCTGATTCGCTGCACGTGTCGCGGCCTCGCCCAGGCCCCGCGGTGCCGCGCACAAGCATGTCACGTCTAGGTTGCGTATCGCCACCGCTGATCGGCATTGGTCCTCGTGGCCCCCAGAAGGTGCAGCTTCTGCCCAAGATGCATCGCACCTGCATGCAGAGGCCATGCGAGCATTCATTTTGGGTCGGGCATGTCCTTCTACAGGAGGACAATTCAAAAATAGTCCAAACATCGTCTGGGGACGATTGTTTGACGATTGTTTAGGAATGTTCGACAACTTTCAGGGTATTTGTCATCTTTGTGTTCAAAGACCGCCTGTAGGAGGACAAGCCCGACCTAACATTAATTTCCGTGGCACTTGCGGGGGGGCCCCTCACCCGCCGCCGTTTGCCGTGCACCCCAGCACGCCGACGAGCCCGTGCCCGTCCAGCAGCGGCCCCTCGCCGTGGCGCAGCTGGAAGGGGTCGAAGCGCTCCCAGCAGGGCACCTCCTCCAGCATGCTCCTGCCTTCGCGGTTCCTCTCCTCCTCCTCTAGGGGCCTCCTCGATGGGGTCCGAGTAGATGGGGTCGAAGGATCGCGCCGCATCGCCTATGCATCGCCGATGTATCGGCGATGCATCGGCGATGCATCGGCGACGCCGGCGATGCATCGGTGACGTCGGCGTGGGGAAACACGGGCTCCACAGCGAGCCGCATCGTCGATGCATCGGCGCTGCGGCGCGATCCTCCGACCCCATCTGCTCGGCCCCCCTCTGGGAGGCCCAGCTCCTCCTCCTCCTCCAGCTCCCAGCTGGACCCGAGGGCGGCACCCGCGCACAGCGAGGCCCCGGGCTGCCACAGGTCCGCGGGCACCACACCGCGCAGCGCCAGCTGCGGCGGCGAGCGCCGCTGCTCGTCCTCCGCCACCGGGGCGGCAACGAAGAAGTACTGGCTCCTGTTATGTTGTTCTCATCGTACTTAAAGACCACATTACAGAAATACTTTCGAGCACCCCGGAAGTATCAAAACAGTGTCGAATCAGTGTCGAGGCAGTGTCGGACGAGTGTCTCCCAGGGCCCGACAAGTGAAAACCCTCGAGCTTCGGTACTTGTTGGGGTGCTCGAAACTCTTTCTGCTGGTCAAGGCTAGGAAATAGGTTGGAACACCATAGGGCTCCTGGCCGGCGACAGGCTCCGCGGCTCCAGCGGCGCGGTCAGCAGCAGCACCTCCCGCCGCGCGCGGAGCTCCACGCACAGCGCGCGCAGCGCCGCGGCCGCGGCGGCCTCGGCCGGCGCCGAGGCGCACCGGGGCCCCCCGCCGCCGCAGGGGGCGCGGGCG